ACATAATGATATCGTGGACTCCAATATATGATTTGCCTCTTTATGAAGGGATAATCTATATTAAACTTAATTGGCATTGGACGAATTATGGATAATACAGCTGAATCCCGAATGCTATTACAACAATTTTTTTTTTGAAAGAGAACTTTATTTATTGAAATCCAAAAATTACAAGAAGAAAAAAACTGAAACTGTTAAGCAAAAACAAACAAAACAGTAAACTATACAAAATCCAAAAAAATCGTGTACAGCAACTGGTTTTCGGCCCTTCAGCACAGCTCCTGCCTTGATTGATCAACATGCAGTTCAGCAATCTGCACTCCCAGTCATCAAGACAGAACCCAAAACAGAAACTGTTTAATAAAAAAACAGTAACTGTTATACCAAAGAAAAACAGTACACTGTTTTTTAAAAATCTGCTATAGAGCTGCTCCATTTGCTCCTCCTCTCTTCGGCTTTCAACACCTCAAATCAGTACCCAAGAAACCTTGACTCATCAGCATAAACTAGCACTACCTGTACAAGCTGACTTAGCCTTTATCATCAAATTGCTATTACAACACTGGGATTTTCAAGACTAAGTGGAATTTTGAACGTCTCATGGACCAAGAGCCTAACTTTTTTGATGTTGCTAACCCATGTTGATGTTCCCTTTTTCTTCTTTTTTCATTTTTGATAGGTAATAGTAGACTTTATGGAAAGAATCATCAGACCCACCCAAAATCTCTCAGCAGTTTTGGGAAAAAGAAAACGGCGCACAGTTGACACACTATTTAATTGTGCTTTCCTTATGCCTAAAAACAAGATTATCTCTTGCTTATCAGCAAAGAAAAATGAAAGATAGAACAAAAGAAAATGAGAACCCCTTTAGATGAGATCTACACATGCTTTCTATGCAGCTTATGAAGTTTTTGTCATGACAGTAGCTGGAAACTCTTTTTAGTTTTTGTTGTGACAATAGCTGGAAACTCTTTTTCAATGTTCTTTTGATTGATATTTCTTCTGGTTAATTGCATGAAATCTTAGTATTGATCTATGTATGTTTCTGAATGACTTACAGCGAGGCTCATACATTCTTTCATGAACTTAGTCTTGTAGTATTTGTGATTAGGTCGTGCATTGTCTGCATTGGGAAAGAAAGAGGACGCTCTTTTGGTCTGGGAGCAAGGTTATGAATATGCTGTTCGTCAGTCTGCAGATTTGAAGCAACTACTGGAGCTGGAAGAGCTTTTGGCAGCTTCAAAACAACATAGTAGTACTTTTGATAAGCATGCTGTGGAATTGTCTGGGTCTTCTTTGCCTGCTTCTGGATCTGTGCCTTTTGTTTCGGGCAAATCCAGTGGAACCTGTGATAATGACAGTAAGTTGAATGGTACGTGTGAACTGCACACTGAGTCGAGGGATGCACAGGAGATCCACGGCAAGTCCAACAAGAGATCTGGCATACACAATGCTTCAAATGGAAAAGTCAAGGGGAATAAAAAGTTGGATAGCCAAGCAAATGGACCTCGTGACAGGCAACCAAATGGAACTTATGACATTCTAGATAGATTGAGCGATCAGTCCGAATTATGTGATGACTTATGTGATGCAACTGAATCATACAGCAAATCTGCTGCAATTAGTGGTGGCTTAAGTGAACTGTCTGAAATTTGCAGTAAATCAAGTGATCGATTTGTCATGCGCAACGAATTGAGTAATGAAGGCAATGGAAGCAAAAAGTTCTGTGTGACAAGGATTTCAAAGACCAAATCAATAAACGTTGACTTTCGATTATCAAGGGGAATTGCACAGGTATGAATGTAAACCTTTGTATTTAAGGTTTGTCTATTATTAAGGTGTCATTGCTTGGACTTTGTATGCCGAATAACTTTTCTGAGGGGTTTAAATGTAAACTTGGGGGTTTTGCACCATCCCATATGCCATTGCAGCCTTTTCACGTTGGATATTGTTTCATAAATCAATAAATATCTTCAAACCACATGATTATTCTAATATTGCTATTACTTTTCCTACTCTATGTTTGGTATGCTAATGGGTAAGTCTACTTCATTTGAGAAAATATATCAGCAGCTTGATTTTGCAAATGATATTATCAGTAATAGTTATCTAATGTTATCTAAATTGGCTATTTCAGGCTACACTTAATGCTAACAAACTGAGATAATTGTTGGAAAATATAATGCTAGGAGCTATCCATTTCCAAAAACCAACGTAAAGATAACATAGGAAACACTATTCCAAGTTTTGTGAGCCTATCCCACATCACTTACTCGTATTTAAAGTACCTAGTCGAGCTTTTCTGCCAGTCTATTCTTGTTCAGTGTCCTAGCTTGGAAGGAAAAAGTTTGGAAAAGTTGCCTGGGAACTTTATTTTGGTTAGAAGAGCAAGGGGAATATCGATTGGTGGGTTAGGATATGCTGCTATTATAGTGTCATGCAATAAAGGGTGGCTTTGGGAAGTTCGTTGGTTATGCTGCGGAATAATAACTGAAGGGGCAGTACATTTCAATTTAGCTTGTATAGTATCTTTTTACCTCTGTAGTTTAGGTATTACTCTAGGTCATGACTCATGAGCAATTTGAATAAGTTAGGAATGGTTTCGGGTAATGGGCACTACTGAATGGTATTTGTTTGTCGGGCATGGGTTTTGAACTAGGTCCAAGCTATTATCTACACTTGGGGACAAGCACGGAAAGTTCTAAGTGGTGTGTCTTAGTTGGATACCTACACTTCTCAGATACTCTGGGAAACACGTCAGATACCTCTTGCCTTTCTCCACAATTAAAAAATAATATATTAATATCATAATTTTGACACACTGGATTCTCAAAAAAATGTCATTTCTCTGTCCAATAATTAGTGACTGTGTCCTTTTGTGGATGTTTGAAAATTTTAGTCCCATTCAAAAAGTTCATGTACAAATATTTTTTAATATTTCAATTTTAACTTATATGTGTCCAACTTTGAAATCAAAGTGGGTGGCAAGGTCAAAAATTTGAATCAATTTAGAGGATATTTTTTGAAAGCCAAAGATTCTTAGTACAAATAATTATATAAAATGCATCTCCTTGAAAGTTGGTTTTCCAAAAGGCCTATAATTTTGGTATCTAGGGAGTAATAACAAAACTTGAAAGTTGGAATATGGAACTTTTTTAGCTTGGAAAGAAGAATGTTTTTAACAGCATTGGAGGTTAATTTCTGTATAACATTCATTTGAAAGTGACACCATATTTTGCAAGCAAAAATAAGGAACATGAAGGTTAATATCAAGGAATGGGCATGTGAGGATTAAAGGAAGCATCAAAATTATGTATACTTTCTATGCTTAGGCTATATTATTTACTATAATTCATAAACTCAATAATTTATGTTACATCCACAGATTTAAGATTTATGGATTGTATGGCAATGTTTGTAGTGTTCTGTGTAATAGTGTATATTTGATAACAAATGTTTTATTACTTGTGAGCCTATACTTAGTTGTTAACATTTTCCAGATGTGTCTTTGCCTTCTTTTTAAGGGAACTTATAGTGTTCTGCCTTGTTTATATCCTTGCTTTGTAGCTTAGGGGATCAAAGTATATTCGGGTAAGAATGAATTACTTGGAGGCGAAGTTTACCATGTTCGCTTACAGTTATGTATCTAACAGAGAATGAGTGAAGAGTTTTGGAGAAAAAATTCAGGTTTCTGTGGTTCCTTTAGTTCTTCTTCTCTCTTTGCAACCCCATAACTCATGGATGTGATCCATACTACACTGGGAATTACAAAGTTTGCTGTAAAACCACATTTATTATAAGCTTTAGCCTTTATCCGAGTGTTTTGTTGGTATCTTTGGATTCTCTATTCTGGATTACATCAGGTTTATTGAAGTAGAATTGTGCTTGTGTTTCATTTTCATTGATTTGGAGACATGCTTGGAAGAGGAAGAGTGTGTGCTAAAGGTGTTGAGAAGCACGAGGGTGATTGGGTTAGTTGGCTGCTGTGGAAGGCGAGAACCTCACGTGGTTGGCGTTCAGAAAAGCATTTGGAGATGTTGGGGATACTATTCCAAATGTAACATCTGTGTGGTAGGATATTGTAAGAATGCGACACAAATATGGTTTTTTTTTTTTGGGGTGGGAAGGGGGACTCCACAAAGGAGTCTTTTAGAGATCTGATTATGTTGGTGGCATGACGGGATGCCCTTATAGTCATTTCGATTATTTTTGGGGGCAGTGTGATGTGGACTCCAGGATTGACAGGCTCTTTCAAATTTGAAGGTTGTTGTTAATTGATGTATGTGAGGGTTATGGGGAGGTTGAGGGCACATTCAGGTGGATAAGTGACGCTGATCAGTCCCTTAGTGATGATTGGGAGGTTGCCCTTCCTTGGAACGACACCTGTTGCATGGAGCCCTCCTGAAGGTGGCCCCCCCTTTTGTGTGGATTACGGCTTTGACGTCATATAGACCTTGTGCAATTAGAGGCATAAGTGTGATATATTAATTGATTGGTGCTGTAGGTATGGAGACATCGGCCATCTGCTTTCACTCGGTGGAGTGGCCATGGAGTTTTGATCCATGTTTTTACTTGCATGGTTATGCCTAATTCAGTGCAGTCTTTATTATGGAGCTGGAGAGGATGTAGAATTCAAAAGAGAGATAGAAAGGCTCTGGATGCTACGCCGTTTTTCCTTGTTTAAAGCCTAGGTTAGTAATAGGAGATTTTTTGAGGAGAAGAGCTTGCAATAAGTAGGCTCGAGTATTATCTTTTGACCAGTAGAAATTGATTGCTTATGGCTGTGGATTTCCTTGTCCTGGGTCTATAATTGTGATGAAGGTTTTGAGATTCAAACCATTCCTGCTACGTAGTGTAGCAGCCACTATGTAATGTTAAAGGCTTCAATACAAGGTTAATGGAATGAGCATTCCTGTGTCGAGCTTGAAAACCTTCCTTATTGCCCTGTGCTTCATATGGATATGTTGACTTACTTATTTTACAAGTCAGAAACTGAACATAAGCAAAGTCGTTTATTATGAAATTGTCTTCATAACAGTGGATTTGGTATGTAATACACCAGTCTCTAGCCTGCCCTGGAGTAGGGCCAGAGACTTCGTTCAGCTGTATGGTCGAAAAACATCATTAACTGCATGAATGGATGCTGTAAAGGAGAAGTTGAAATAACTTGAATAAACAACGTTAGAATTTTGAAGGTCTACCTATTTTGTGATCAGATTTTAAAAGTGGAAAGTAATTCCTCAGTAGTAGGTATGTAGTGCTCTGTGATTACAATTGATATTCTTGCGATTTGAATTGTGTTGTTTTGATCAATAGTCTTGTAAGAATACTATTATTCTCTCTCTCTCACCCCACCCCCCAGGGGGGTTCCCCTGCTCTTGTCGTTTTGTTTGTCCTTTCCTGATTAATAATGGATTTGTTCCTATTGAACTTTGTCTGAATTCTGAGAGAGGCAATATCTTCCTCCTCTCCTTCTACTTGGCAGCATTGTCTAACACGTCAGTTGTGGTTCCTGCTTAACTTGTATCTTTTGCAGGTCAATGAGGGGAAATATGCTCATGCCATATCCATCTTTGACCAGGTTGAATACTTCTTCTAGCTTTAAAGTTGTTCTCATGATCTTGCTTTTGTCTGAGTTTGAAATATGGCTTCAGGATCCCTTTCTTTACATTATATCAACACTTTCATAAAACTTCTTCCTCTTTCGTTACACAGATTCTAAAAGAGGATCCTACTTATCCTGAGGCACTAATAGGAAGGGGAACAGCATATGCATTCCAACGAGAACTTGAGGCTGCTATTGCTGATTTCACAAATGTATTTAATGCTCCAAGCTTTTATGCATATGTCAAATATTTGTACTTCTTGTGATAAGAAATTCTTGTGACTGACATTCTAGGCTATTCAATCAAATCCATCAGCTGGTGAGGCGTGGAAACGGAGAGGGCAGGCCCGAGCGGCCTTGGGGGAATCTGTTGAGGTAAAATGCCTCCATCTTATTCTTTGAATTCTACTATCTCTAACGATGCTAAAATGATTATTCATTACTGTGGGAGTATGTCTGAAATCAATTTTCTTCGATGCTTCTGATGAAGTATTCTCGTGAACCTCCATAAAGTTTATGAAATCAATTCTATCATCAAGGTAATTGAGGCTCCACATCAATAAGCTTTTATAATCCTATGGTCTTGCCCTCAATATTTTATTTTGATGACTTAGACAACAGAAGGCTTAAGAAGGAGGAAGTTTGAAGAAGAGAGAAATTTGGGAAATTGCTTCGATTTCAATATGAATCTATGGAGGTTTTTAAAAGAACTTAGTGCCATTGCCATGTTCTAATGAAGTATTTGTTACTAGACTTAGGCTATACTAGAGTTTTAAGTGTGAATTTGGAGGTATTTGATAATTCTGTTTTTGAGCTGTATAGTGGGCTGCCATATTGGGATTACTTTTAAGTGTTTTGGGTTAGGTTTGACGAATCTAGTGGGCACAGAAATTGTTCATATTTTTGTCTGGCTTCCCATTAAAATAGGAGGGGATGCTGTTATTGAAGGCTTTTTGAAATTGGGATTCATTGATTCCTATGGTTAATGCATCTCTATCTCTCTGTGTGTCCATAGACTGCTTGTTCTTAAACAAAATTAATACATTCATTGCTGCGGAATATCTTATTACCTCTGGTAACCAGGCAATTGCTGACTTAACCAAGGCGTTAGAGTTCGAGCCAAACTCAGCCGATATATTGCATGAAAGAGGTAATTTTTTTAAACTCGAGCTTTCATCATATTTAACACCACATTTGCCTTCTCTTATAGCAAGATATAACTTCCATGTTTGATGTTGTGATATTTGAAACAGCTTCTTTACTACTGTTGATTACATGCAATTTCTTATAGTTTCTCAGCCTTCAGTACTTAGACACAGATGTAGGTGATGGTGTCCATTAGAGGATAAGTTATAGGAACAAAACTTGGATATTTTAAATTAACTAGGGGAAGCTGTTATATATCTATAAATTATATAGTAGACGCATGTGGGTCATGCTGGGGACAGCCAGAGTTTTGCTACTTGGTTGTTGTACAGGAGGAGGTGAGAGGAATGCAGCAGACGGCGCCTCTGTTTCATTTTGGTGTATTAGGTGAGAAAAAAGTAAGAGAGTCCTTGAGGAGAGGACTTGCCTGTGATAGAAGTAAAGCAATTCTATGTTTTTCTTATTTGTTCTTGTAGAGTCCTTTCCTGGCTCTCTGAGTAATTTATAGTTATTAGGGAGATGTTATCTGATTTAGCTACAAGTTTTTTTGTTTACTATGTGTGTCAGCAGCTTACCTTTTTTTGGCACTTATAGTGATTTTCATTTTTTGTATTGAAAAAATGAAGATTGTGGGGATAGAAGTAGTATTTTATGAATGACCTTGATAGCATCAACAACATGCTGGTTTACTGTGGCCATGTAGTGGTATCAAGTATATGTGAATGTGTATCATGTAAAAGCAAAAGTATGATAATTCTTATGCATATCACAGTAGAATGCAAGGTAAGTTCCATGGCATGCTGTTGCTCATGAGGAGAGAATAAATGCAGGAATAGTTAACTTCAAGTTCAAGGATTTCAATGCTTCAGTTGAGGATCTATCCATCTGCGTAAAGCTTGATCAGTATAACAAATCTGCTTACACATACTTGGTGAGTCCATGACATCAAAAATATATTCTGCAGTTCACTAAAAAATTAAGTTGATCCAGTTCATGGACTTTGTGTTCTGAACTTATTGTTTTGTGATTTTTTAAATTCAAATAGGTTATTTTTATGTGTTGATTGAGGAAATTACAGGGTTTAGCACTATCTTCAATTGGCGAGTATAAAAGGGCTGAAGAGGCGCATATGAAATCAATTCAAATTGATCAAAAATTCCTAGAGGCATGGGCTCATCTAACACAGGTATCCATGGATATATTGTTAATGTCGTTCTACTCAATAGTGTCCTATGAATTGTTCTGTGATTTGGAGCTGAATTCTTCACCTGGAAAGGTGTGATAGGAAATTTGAAGATATACAACACACTTACTTCAATGCTAACTGCTGAACACAACAAGCCATAACCATTGCTTTATTGCAAGGCTTGTGAACTGTGCCTTCTAACAGCTAAGCACTGGAAAAAAATGGGCTTCCTACTTAGTCCTGTCTTTATACATAGTATTAATCTCCAGTCTTGCAGATGTAAAACCCTTACATTCAGTTGAATCCATGATGATTCCATTGTTCATCTAAGCCTAATCCCTTATTGGTTTTGGTCTTTGTCATGTCATTTATGGGCTTCCAATATTCTACATGGATCAGGTAGTGTCTCTCATTCTTTTACTGAACAGTCTGCACTCACCATAATGAAATCATCTTTTGAGCATCTTAACATGTCCTTTGTATGTTTGGCCCTCCCCAGATCCTGCGATGCTGGGAGTCTCGTGTGCTGGCCGCACTTTGCACTTTTCTCGATCAATGTTCATTTAAATCGTCATACTGATTTTTCTGATCTGAAGTTCTTGAAGTCTACTAAATTCTTAGTTAGCGTCAGTTTTTGGGTTTCCTGTTTTTGTTTTGACTATGTCCACCATTGATAGTTGTGTGCCATTTCTGTTATGGGATGAGTAGGGTTCAATTTTTTGAATCCTTTGGTCATTATTTTACCAATTAATTGAACAATCCAGATGCTGAAATGTTTTGTGCATGCTTTTCCAAGTTCGGCAATTCTATGAACTTGCATGTCTAGATTTGTTACCTTTTTGATAACCCTTTGTATTTGGTATGAATTTTATCTCAATTTTGTTACTAGGCAAGTAGTTTAAATATGTTGAGGTGAAATCTTTGATTTGGTGGCAGTTCTATCAAGATTTGGCAAATTCGGGTAAGGCTTTGGAATGCCTTCAGCAGCTTCTGCAGATTGATGGAAGGTATATGTGATGGACCTCTGTTATTATGTTGATGCCATGGTTTACACCAATGTGATCCTGCTTGATTCCAAATATGATACATATTCTCTGATGATTGCATTGGAGTTATATGTGATATTCTTAATGCCCTTTTTTCTATAGGTTTGCCAAAGCTTATCATTTGCGTGGACTACTTCTCCATGGGATGGGAGAGCACAGGTAATCTGTCTATGAATTTGTCCACCATATTTAGTTTGTTTGATTGCAAGCTGATGCTGTCGGCAATGCCTCTGTGAATAGCCTCTATGATTGGCATTGAGCATATAGGTATTGGGAAAAGTGAAAAAGCAATCTGTGATTGTAAGAACCCAGCAACGGTTCAACTGGAGATAACCAAAACTGTTACGGTGTTTTGTGATACATGTGGGGACCTTTTTATTTGAAGCCTCCCTTGTGCTTTCAAAATTTTCATTTAAGGAGGTAATTGTTGATTGGTTAAAGGGCAATTCTTGCAGTGCCGTTCATCAGGTTAGACAGCAAAGAGGAGAATAGCGTGCAGAAACTTTGAAGGGGTTGAAGTAGTCATGAGGTGGACTTTTATGTCATTCTGAGGTGGCCAACCACTTTCAGATAGAATGACATTTGCTTTACGTTCTTTCCTGTTTTCTTGTACACTACTTTTGAATCCTTTATTTTCCCAAGTCATCATCCATATCCACTCACTCTTTATCCTATCCAAGGCAGACATTCCCCAACCCCAGATTTCCCCCCATCCATCTCTAAATTTTTGAAACACACCACCTTAGATGATTTTTCAGGCCAACAAGGCCCACATGATGAACTCGTATTTCCATCGAACCGTAAATCATGGTTAGGACATACCTGATGGCTCACCGCATTGGGTCCAACTGCCTTCTCAAAAAAAATCCCCCTCTCCACTAATAGACTGAGCAACTACTGAATTCCCATCCTAACTGTCCATAGCATCACCATTGTTCCCAGTAGTAGAATCTTTGTGATCAGAACTCTGGTCTATTGCAAATCGCACTTCATTGATATTGAAACAACCTTCTTCTACTTCATCGATCATCTCAGAATCAAGGAGGAGACTGTTGACATCATCAAACAACTCTCCTTTTTTCTAACCCATTGCATCAATAACTTCAATATTCTGAGAGGACTGATTCAATTGCCCAGTATCTAAGTTCCATAGCAACTCTTTAGAGTGACTTTCTCCATCCCTGATAACCTGCTTCTGGCTCGAGTGTTCCCTACGTGTGAAACCCCCGTCTTTGTTCCTCGTCACATAGAGCTGGGAAGCCCTAGCCCTTTCCTCCGACGAATTTCCATTAAAAAGCTGTGGGTGATTCTTTGATGGGCTGGGGCCATGGGTCCACGAAATTTCCACTAAAAAGCTTGGCTAGCATCCCTATTTATTATTTGGCTTTGTTTAAAATCCCTATAAAAATAGCATCTGTTAGAGTTCTTATTTTTTATTGATGAAGATAGCATTGTAATTCTCATAATATCAAGTTTAGTATGAATAACAGAGTGCTGGGCAACTTAGCTCACATGACGGATTATTTTCTTTCTCCTCTTTGTCTCAATCTCCTCTCTCTTTTTCTTACAAACCTAATATCATATTTACTAATTCAACTTGGAATCAGAGCCTGATTCGACACTACATAGTATTAGAGAACATTGTATGAGATTTTTGGACGTGTTTCTGTTTGCTGACGTTACTGTCAGCGATGACTTCACGCTGTCATCATCATCCTACAGACACAAGACGACCACCTCCAGGTTCGAAATCTTCTTCTGAGTATTATGGGATTTTTGTGTATTTTTTAGAAGCCTTCCGAGTAATGTTTTATATTTTCGTATATTTTTCAGAAAAATAGGTTCTATTTTTTAGATCCACTGTTTTTTCGATTTTTTGGCTGGATTAGAACCTGTGGGTACCAATTTGGCCTCGACAGGAGATTCTAGAGTTATCCAGCCCTTATTGGGTTGCTTTCTGGACGGTTTTGTGCAGAAACAGTGCCGAAACCACTTTTTTTGTGGATCTAGGTTGACTGGATCTAGTTCTGGACTTGCTGGATTTGCTCGGTTTTGACTGGATCTGGTTCTGGGTTTGGTGGCTCTGCTCTGTTTTGATTGGTTCTATTGCTGTGAGACTTCTTGGCTGGATTCTTGCTTGGATCTACATCTGGCTGGATTCGAGGTGTTTTTTTGTGAGTAACAAGTACCGCCAGCCCTGGTTTTTGGGTATGGTTGTGTTCGATTTGCTTCAGATTTGATCGATCTGGGTTCTGAGTGTTTATGGGTGCTGCCCAGTGGTATGAGTGTGTTTTTTCGACCCCTTTTTGGCTAATTGATGGTGTCGGCCAGATCTTCTAGCACTGTTTAGTGTATGGGCTCCTCCCAGAACAGTGGTTTTTGGTTAAGAACACTGGGTGTTGGTTTGGCTTTGACTCCTTGTTGTGTTTGAGGCACTCTGGTGTTCGTTTCAGCACCGGGTAGATTTGGTTACTGTGTTGAGGCACTATGGTGCTTGTGGTGTGTAGCAAATCTGATCCTTTTGGCGCAAGTTGGTTATTGTGTGGATCTCAACCTTGGTTTTGTATTTGGTTGTGTAGCCTTGTTTTTGTATTCTCTCCCAGTTCAGCCTTTGTTTGGATTATTTCCCTTCGGACTTGTTCCAAATGGTTGATTTTGCACTCTTAGTGTTGATTTGGATGTTCATAGCTGTGGTGTGTGACTGGTCGTTCTTCTTGCTTGTGTGATTGCTATGTTTGCCATTTTTTTAATGATGAATTAAATAGTGGTAATGGTGGTAGTCGTCATGGTGGTCGTAACTTGCTCCATAACACTAGTCGTGCTGGTTGTTCAGGTAGTGGTCATTGTTCTATGTGGAAGTGCACTTATTGGGGTGGCATAGAACATATTGCGAATTTTTGTTGTGACAAATATGGGAGACATACATATGCTAATGCGGCTTTTCACAATACTTTGGGCTCTCTACTGCATCAGACTTTTACCAATGGTCTAGTTGCATCTAATACTGATTCTCATGAACTTTCTTCTCAGTTTCGTTAGCTTATTCAACATTGATTTCATTTTCTACATATTTATCTGTTCTTGTTAATAATGGTAACTCTACATGTATAGTTGTTCAACCTTCTTCATTATCTTAGATCATTGATTCCGAAGTTAGTGCTCATATGTCTGATACTTTCGTTTGTATAACTCACGTATTGTGTTAGCGGATGACTAATTTCGACCAGTACATGAGACTGGCAATCATAGACCTACTCAATTTATGTCATTAACCTCTGGTTTGCTTGTTCCTAATTTTTCCGTCAACTTATTATCAATGAGTCAGCTAACTAAGTCATTATAGTATTTCGTAACCTTCTTTCCATCCTCATATGTTTTTCAGGATCTTAAGACAAATAAGGGGATTGGTTTGGGACATGAGAAAAATGGCCTACTACTTAGATCCTGGTGGTTCTATTCATGCCTTGAGTGCTCTTATGTCTCCTCTTTAGTGACACTTCTAATTTGGTCATCCCTCATTGCAAAAATTATGGCAAGTTATTCATGGTTTAGGTCATTCTTCTGTGTTAGAATGTAAGGTTTGTCAATTAGGCAAGTATCTCCATAGTTCTTTCCTCCTAGTTCTTCTAGTCGTCAGTCTAGTTCGTTTCATGTTGTTCATACAGACACTTGTGGTCCAACAAGAGTTAAAAGTATTTGTGGGTTTTAATATTTTGTAATATTTATTGATGATTTCTCTTGTACGATTTCAGTTATTCTTTATGAAAGACCGTTCTTAATTACCCAAGGTCTTTACCATCTTTCATAATGAAATTCTGACTCAGTTTGATGTTCACATTAAATTTCTTCTTCGGTCTGACAATACCTTTTACTATACTTAATCATTTATGAAAATTTTTGTGCGACCGTCCATCAAACCACATGTCCTCATACTTCCCAGCAAAATAGTGTTGTCAAACGTAAGCATTGCCATTTGTTAGATGTTGTCCGGACCTTGATATTTAACATATATATGCCAAAATCATGTTTGGCTGATATTGTTTTTATTTCAATTTATCTTATTAATCACATTCTTTCCCTCGTTTTGGTCAATAAATCTCCTTTATCGTTGCTTTATTTTGATACATCGCTATTTGATCTTACTACTTGTGTCTTTGGTTATGTTGTATTTGTTCATCTTCTTGGTTTTGGTGGGAAAAACTTTCGCTTTGTTTGGTTAAGTGTGTCTTTTTCTGATATTTTTATACTCAAAAAGGTTATCGGATCCCATTTCTTGTTGATACTATGTTAGTGCTGATGTTATCTCTTTTGAATCTTCTTCTTACTTTTTTGTGTCAGGTGATACCCTTCTCCCAAGGAGAGATCTTGTTGCCTATTGTACTATATTGTGTATCTTCTTTCTCTCCAAGCTCTATTCCTCTCTTATAGGTTTATCATTGTTCTAACTTCTAAGGACAGATTGGTTGTTCCATATGTTCTAGCTTTGCGTCCATTACATGATTCTTCTGAGATCCTGCCCCCTTAGTCGTCAGCTAGTTCATTATCTTCTAATTTGCCTATTATATCGAGGAAAGGTACCTGTAATTGTACAAAACATCCTATTTTTAATTTTTTTTCTTTGCATCGACTTTGTCTTAGGTATTTGTTTCTAGTTCTTTGAAATAGGCATTAATATTTTCCCGTTGAAAATTGGTTATGCATGAGGAATGAAAGTCCTTCATAAGAATCAGACATGAGACCTTACTACTCTCCCTTCTGTTTACTAGCCTGTCGGTTATCATTGAGTTTAAATAGTGAAGTATCATCTTGATGGTTCAGTTGAACATTTAAAGGCCTATCTGGTTACCAAAGTTTATATCCAGACATATGGTGCCGATTATTGTGAGAATTTCTCTTTGGTTGCCCATTTTAACTCTGTTAGAGTTCTTATTTTTGTTGCATTAAGTGGTGATTGACTTTTGTGATCAATTGGATATCAAGAATGTTTTTTTATATGGAGACTTACAAGAAGAGGTACATATGGTACAACCTATAGGTTATGTTGCATCTGATAAGGAACAATTAGTGTGTCGTTTGAAGAAAGCACTATATAGCCTGAAACAATCACCACGTATTTGATTTAATAAGTTCAGTACTATAGTATTTCAATATAGTTTTTAGCGTTGTACTTTACACTATTCAGTTTTATTTGCTATTTGTCCACATATGTTATTATTTTTATTGTGTATGTTGATGATATTATTATTAACAGTGATAACTCAGATGGTATTGCCCACTTCAAGTCCATTTGGGACAACAGTTTCATACAAAAGATTTAGATATTCTTTGATAATTTTTTGGGATCGAGGTCGCTCAATCGAAAGATTGTATTATTTTCTGCCAACAGAAATATGTATTAGATTTATTATCTAATATTGAGATTCTTTGTGCACGTCTAACTGATAATCGTATGGACTCTACAGTTAAGTTAGATGCTAAGAGTGGTGAGGATTTGGATGATATAGGGTGCTATTAGAGGTTTGTTAGTAAGCTGATTTATATTATAGTTGCATGCCTGATATTACCTATGTTATTGGTTTGGTTAGTTAGTTCATGCACGCTTTTCGTAAGCCCCATTGGGAGTCTGTTTGTCTTATTCTTCAATATCTAAAAGAAAGTCCTAGGAAAATGATTATTATGTCATCCTTCATTATCCATGACTGTTACTGGTTTCTCTAATGCTAATTGGGCAGGTAGTTGTCTCGATAGACGATCTACCTTAGGTTATTATACATTTGTTGGCCGGAATCTTGTTATTTAGCATAGCAACGAATAAAATGTGATTGCTCATTCGAATGCAAAGGCTGAATACTTAGCTATGGCTCATATTTGTGTATGAGATGATGTGGATTTGTTCTCTCCTTCATGATATGGGTATCGATGTGCCATGTCTATGGAGATGCATTGTGACACCTAGACAACTATTTTCATTGTCAACAATCCATTATTTCATGAGAGGATGAAGCACATTGAAGTGGATTGTCATTTTATTTGAGATCTCTTGATGTATTAGAAGATTATCACACCATATATCAAGTCTAGTGATCAGCTGGGTGACATCCTTACTAAAAACTACAGGCTCGATTTGTCTTCAATAATCTTTACTCCAAGGGGGACATCTTTGATTTTAATTCTCCAGCTTGAGGGGGAGGTTAGAGTTCTTAATTTTTAGTAAAGAAATACCTATTGTAATTCTCATAATATCAAGTTTAGTATAAAAAATAAAGAATAAGGCAACATAGTTCACGCGACATATTATTCTTTTTCTCATGTTCTCTCAGTCTCTTATCTCTTTTTCTTACAAACCTAATACCACATTTACTAATTCAACTGCATCTTTGATTAAAAAAATGGAGAGACTTTTTGGGAGAAGGGAGTGGGGAAGGAAAAAAGAATCACCTTGTTAGGTGAGAGGTGGTGTCAAAGTCTAGGATTAGAAAAGGGTTGGTGGTGAGGAATTTGCTTAATAAAAATATTACTTGGTTAGGAACGTGGTTATGGAGGTTTCCACTTGAACATGGGTCGTTGTGGCATTCTGCTGTTGTTAAGAGCAAACATAGGTTAGGGCTCTTGTCGATGTCCTTGGAAATTTATATCATTTGATCTAAATGGTTTCGGGGATTATGTTAAGGTGGAAGTGAGGAATGGTGAGATAACTTGTTTTGGGAAGATTTTTGGATTGGGGATTCTCCTTTTGCTTTGTCTTCTCCTAGATTGTTTAGGTTGTCACGGTTTCATAATGTGTCCATTGCTAGTTTGTATTGTGCTCATGGGGGCTGGAGTTTTAATTTCTTTAGGGTCTTAAATGAAAGGGAAATTCTAAAACTTTATTCTTTTTTGTCTTTTACACAATTGGGATAAAATGGTGTGGGTCCTTGAGTCATCTACTGTTTTTTCTTACAAATCTTACTTTCATGCAATGATTGATAACCTATTTTCTTCAGTTTTTTAATCTAATGAGATGATTTGGAAGGCCAAAGTGCCTATCAAGTTACAAATTTTTGGATGGACTGTAGTTCATGCAAAGCTCAATACTTGTGATTTATTGCAAAGGAGAAGGTTGATCTCTCGTCTTTCTTCCCATTGGTGTGTGATGTGCAAAAGATAGTGTGAAAGTGTAACTCTTTCTCCAATGGCCAGTGGCCTCGATGATGTGGTATAAAGCGCTTTGGGTGTTTAGTTTGAGTTGAGTTTTCCCAAAAAGATGTGTTGATTTACTTGTGACATCCTATGGGCTCTTTGGAAGAAAGAAAATATCCTCTATTTTGTGGGAGTGTGTGGTTATGACTGTTTTTTTGGGTGGTATGAAAGGAAAGGAAAGGAAAGGAATTAAAGAATCTTTTTGGATAAAAAAGAGTGTAGAGAGATGTTGGATAGAGCATAGTATTTGGCTTCTCTTTGGGCATCAATTGTGAACGAGTTTAAGGATTTTTCTTTGCATGCCATCAATATAGATTGGATAAAGGCTTGTAGTTAGATTAATTTTCCTTGAGTTTTTTACTTGGTTTTTCCCGATGTATTTTTCATTTCTGTTGAGTCTTATTGTGGACTCCTTGCCAAGTAAAATGTACCCTTTATATTACTTTCAATGAAAGTTTTGTTTCCATCAAAAAAGGGTAGAGCTCCAGTAGTCTTCATTGCAGTATGTGGAAATATTTTTTGCATTTAACATATCACTAATTATGTTGAATCTTATTTGTTTTTAACCACAAAATTGGATGGAGTTTATGCATGTGGAGTCTAAACCAGGGGTATATTTTTTCGCACTTCCCTAATATTTTATCATAATTGGCTAGAACTATGAGTTTATTGCTTCATTACCATCGTCTTTTCATTTTCCATTTGATTTTTATGTTTTGATAAAAAATAACAATTTTATTAACAACTAAAGAAAGTGTAACAAATCCAATCAGAGGTGGACAAGTTATCTAACCCACTCAAAATTGGATGTCATCCAAGTTCAAGAAAACACAAAAACACTACACAAAGTCATTAAAGTAAAAAATACAATCCATAAGAAGCTGTCCAGCTTGCATTAATGATAAAAAGAGGAATATTCTCAAACTCTCTAGTCACAGATGCTCGTAATGAAGCCAAGAAGTGTAACCAGTCCCATAAACATTCAACTTCTTCCTTCTAATCTTAAAAATCGCATTTCTCTCCGTCCATATCACCCAAAGGAGGGCCAAAAAAAAAACACTGCCAAAGGTTCTTACCTCTTGAACTTCCTCTCAAACCCCTAAAATCCACACTCCACGAAGTGCAAACAATCTCAAACAATATATTCCATAACGAAAGTGTCAAGGGGCAGTACAAGAATAAATGATCCACAGTCTCACCATCACCACTGCACATAACGCACTACTGCTGTGAAATACAATGCAGAGAACTTCTTCTTTGAGGCACATCATTAGTATTAATCTTATCATGCACAATTTGCACCTTTAAAGGCACTATTGGAAATGAAGAATCATCAATTAAAAACTCAAAATAAGATTTACAAGAGAAAACACCAAAGAATCACTAATCCAAACTCTTCTATCTAAAGAATTTTGTGGCAATGAGACATCATTAAGCATGGAAAGAAAGTCCCAAAACAGTTTCTATGAAATCCCAAATCCCAATTAATCGGAAAAGAAGCCGAAGAAACTAAAGAATCAATGTATCTAACATGATAACGAGTAAGACGGTTAATTAGGTGAAAATTTTAGTCTAACCACCTAAAATTAATTAGGATTTAGGAGTTGAAAAGGTTTTAAGGTTACAGTTTTACAAGTTAGACCAAGGGATCTAGGCCTTAGCGACCAAAAATGACTGAATTGCTTGATTTTCTAGGTGTTTGGGTGTGGAATTTTCAAGCAAATGGTGCAGGAAATTCTGGATAACAGGGGATCTATGGTCCTTTGATACTGAATTGATGGGCAAAGGATTGAGGACTAGGTTAGGATTGGTTGGACAGTGATGAAACAATGGATGAGATTAGTTTCAGAGGCTGTACTGGCACTGTGAACACTAACATGAAAAGTAACCTTGGGCACTAAGGTGTGAGTTTAGGGTTAGGGATGAATATTGAGGGAAGCTGGAAAAGTTTGGGCTTGTACAGTAAAATTTTACGGTTGAATGGGATAAATTTAAGGTTTGGTTGCAGTTAGAAAGTATGATAAGCAAGAAAAAAAGCAATAAGAATCTAGGAATCCCACCTAATTAGCGAACTAAATCAATGAATATAGGGCATCAACTACTATTAATATCACAATCTTTTATTCTTTGCTCCTTAGCGTTCTAGCACTAAGTTCCATTGTTCTATTTTAAGGCACTATTTGATGTTACTGTTATGTCCATTTTGTTTATGCTACTGTGGTGGTGAAAGGTAAGGGTTATGTTGCCTCCTCATCCTCTTCCTCCTCCTCCCTCTTCTTCAAGTTATATTGTACAATATCCTGATGGCATACTCCTTTGTGTTCATCTATCCTGATGGGGCAACTTCTTTATGCTCCTATATGTACTGGCTTTGAAAGGTTTAACATTAATTCCCTGTGGCAGAGTAATTTCTATGTTTTGAGCTATATGTATGCATTTTCTTACCAAATCCTTGGTTAGTTTCTGTGTAGATACACAATACTTATTTTATTTTCTTTTTCTTTTCTTTCTTTCTTGTTCTGTTTCATTTTTACCTGGTGGCTAACATTATAAATTGAATATTACAGGAATGCTATCGAGCATTTATCTATTGGGTTGAGTCTTGAGACCTCAAATATTGAGTGTTTATATTTACGAGCTTCTTGCTACCACGCCATTGGAGAATTTAGAGAAGCGGTATGGTGGTCTTTACCTAGTGTTCCCATTTGAAAACATTTGGTGTTATGTTTCTTGCCTTTTTTGCTCCCGTTAACTTAATTCTGTTCCTATGGTATAGGTTAAGGATTACGATGCTGCTCTGGATCTTGAGCTAGACTCGATGGAAAAGTTTGTGCTTCAATGCCTGGCCTTCTACCAGGTTCGATTTGATGTTAGATACGGTTTATGTAATTGCTACTTAAAAATAACCATGTCAGGCATCATTGTTCAAGTTCCATCGATGTTATCATCTATGCTTTCAATTATGTTTCTAATTTTTTGTACTCATTATTCAAATTAGCTCTCATTTTGGGTTATACGTAGTTGATGGAACCAAGATCCTCCCACCAAATATTAGATCCATGTTGCATTTTGGTGCAAATCTAAGTCCTTTCAGTCGTTCCTCTCTCAATTCAGTGTGCTGATGACAGATACAATAGTTGACTAGACACATTGGTGCTTGTTGAATATAGATTGTTCTGAAACTGACTTGCAGCAGCTTTCATATTATTTGTGTCACCCATAAATTCTTCATCGCTGTAGCTTTCTCTGTGAATGAGTTCAATATGATGCCTTTTTTAGGTTGATTTCTTTGGCAAATTTCACCCGTCCATGTGCCTTGAGTACAAGGAATTCATAACATATGAACCTAGTGAAATTAAAAAAAAAACACGAATTGTTGGAAACTACTCAAGGAATTCATAACATATGAACCTAGTGAAATTAAAAAAAAAACACGAATTGTTGGAAACTTTATTTTACAAGCATTATTTTTTTAACAGGAGGCCACTGGTACACAGTTTAAAATTGGGCTTAATAATGTTGATGTTGTGGGTTTGAACCTAAAGACAACCACTTTGTGCAAAATAATGCTAAAGGGTAGGTTTTACCCAATCTATCCCACCCAGTCCTCCATTAAGGGGGCTAAACCAGTTCTTAGTTTAATAATGTTTTTTCATGAAAGAGTAAATAACCAGTTCTTAATACTATCCTGTCTTGTTTGGATTTTTCAAAACCTGAAACTGTTTGCATCAAATCCGCTTTGTTGTCATCTTTTTCTCTTTACCATTGCATATACCCCTTCTAGCCTTTGTTTAAATAGACTAGAGTGAGCCATCCATTGTCTTCCAAAAAATTATAATCCTCAAACCTGTACTTACCATAAACTTAGAGAGGCGTATCGTACGACCTCCTGTTTGATTCTGTTAGCTCATGGCGTTATTTTGCAAGAATCACATAGATATTTGTGACTAATTCAGTTAACCATTCAGTTTCCTTGTGTTCTTTCTTGAGTTCAAAGGTTCTAACTCCGTAATGATGGCACATAATTTTGATTTATTGGTTTGTTTTCTCTCTTATTTTAAAATAAATATCCTGTAGTCTGTCATTTTGCCCCACCTATAATATTATTCATACAGCACATGTTCTCTCAAGTTTTTAGTTATTAATTCATGGGCTTCCACGTTCTAAAAACTTGTCTCAGCACACATTCTGAATTTTCAGGTGTAGTTGGGGTAAGAATAAATGCTATTAACCTTCTTGAGGAAGGGGAAGTGATATCTTTAAACTGATCCTGCATCAAAACATGCTAATACCTATTATTTCATTGTGAAATATCTAAATCATGTGGTTATTCTAGTTAGGGCTGATACTTGAGCTGAGCTACGTGAACTCGGCTCGGATAAAACTCAAGCTCGAACACCACTCGTGTTTTAAGCGAGGTGAACTTGAACAATTTTTTTGATTCGTTTAGAAAACGAGCCTAAAAACCTCAACTCGAGATCGCAAAACTCAGTTTGTTTATATGTAAAATAGTTGAGCTATTCGGGTTCGGCTAATTTTCTAAATGACCTTAAGTTCAACAATTTTTGAAACTCGTTTAGAAAAACGAGCTCGACCGGCACAGCTCGATTATCAGCCCTAATTCTAGTGACACGTCCACTTTAACTGGGAGAGTCGAATTCCCCCAACCGACATCCACCCACCAAATTAAAAGGGAAAAACAAACAGATGATGTTTATGAATGGTCAGACAAATCTTGGTCCCAATGCAGAAACATATGAATTTTGTAATTGCCTTCAGTATTGCAGCTAGAGGTTTGGCTGCTAATTGAGGTTAACATTTTAGTTATAAAAAAAAGAGTGCATGTGGAATCCACATCCGGATTGACCAAAGATTCCCAAATTTGGCATCGTCCAAACTCACACCCACACTTTGCTGCTTAGTAGATTCTTATGTCTTTATGCTGACATTGTGGCAAAAAGGCAGATGCATTTAGGAAATAGCCAATTCACTAGTACTACTGTGAATGTAATGTGCAAATGCACGAAGATATATGCACTAAAATGTAGATACATGTTGGGGCATTATACAAAAAACACACACACACACACTCACATCTTCATATGCACATGTGCATGCATATATGCATGTCTAGCTGTATTTTTATATCTATACAAGTTAGTTTTGTGCAGATATAACCTTTATGCATATCCATTTTATATAAGCTTTTTGGATGCTCAATTCCCCTGCTTTTGACATGCATCCTGACTACCAAGAAGTGAGCCAAATGATATAAACCTTACATCAGTCATAACCATATTCAATACTTTCATCCAATTATAGATACTTTGTGAATTTTATTTTGCATGGTATGGTTTTCGGTATCATCTTTTTTACTTGAACTTCTTGCAGAAAGAAATTGCTTTGTACACTGCTTCAAAGATCAACAGTGAATTTTGCTGGTTTGATATTGATGGAGATATTGATCCCCTCTTTAAGGTAAAATGTGGAATTATAAGTCTCCATGCTGGTAATGTAGTATTCATTTCTTGAACTTCATCTTTGTACTGTTTGATTGTTCATCATTCCTGTAGCAATTGTTGTTTTGTTTTGTAGTACGTCAAGTTTTAATCATGGAATATGAAATTGACACTGATTTTTAAAAGTGATCACCATTGCTTGCTTGTCAATTCATAAAATTTTCTACTGTAGGTGGTGGTATTCAAATGTGAGCTATATCAGATATTGTGGATAAACAATCATTCAGCATCATTCCACTGACCTTGATGAAGAAAGGAATTATAAAGACGGCTGTATAGCCAGCACTCATATTTGTTGCAACATAATATAAAAGCTTGGTAGTTACAAATTTGCTAATCAATAAAGGAGCATATGCAATATAATAAGAAACTAATTTAACCATGGGAAAGCTAAATTTAGCACAACTGTAAGTTAAAGAGAAGGCCAAAAACATGGCTTTATTGGACGAGTAGTATTTTATCTTCTCGCAAGGCCTGGACTCCTTCGACAATAAGTATCCTGCAGCCGATAATCCCTTTTTGCCTTTTTCTATATTGTAGCAAGGCAATTATCCTATTGGTTCTTACATTTTTTGAGAATTCTGGTGAATCATGTCAGTCCTGACCAAACTTTGAACAGAAGATTGTATGAGAAGACATGGCTAAATTTTATGATTGAAGATTAAAAAATATATTTGTGGCCTACTGCCTAAGCTTTTGTAGTTAGGATAAGCTTTGGTGTAGGCAAGGATACAATTAGTTGAATTGAGGATGATTCATTGATTCAATATCTTTTTGTTTTTTTTTTTTAATATCTGCAATTGAATTTTTTTCCTAGTTTTTTTCCTTTTAAATTGTTCTATGTTTCTACACTCTTGGACTCTTTCCACACACTTGCTTAATCGATAAAGCTTGTATATACTTATGTTCTCTTGTTTGATTTGATAACTTGGTATGGGGAAATATTAATAACTGCTGGATATTTGATTGTTATAGTGGCTTATGATGAACAATTTAGTTATTATAATGTGAAGCAAATGCCATTTAAATGTTACAAGTAAGGCTCTTTCCCTAGGTGATTTTTAGTTTGGGTGCTACCTACTCCTAAGAAAATATGGCTGGTAAACCACACCAAGTATAGAAGGCTGCCTAGTGGCTGGCAATCTTTCAAGAAGTCAATATTAGGGAATTTTGGTAATTTTTTCACTGACTGATATTAACCTTGAGCAAGGACATCACTGTTTAGATAACCTTTGCATGAAGCAAAAGTAACCAGCCAGGTAAAATTCTCCCTGGTGGTGTGTAGGTAATCGCATTTTATAAACAATGTCATACTTAATTCCGTGACCTATGGAGCACGGATACTTTGACCTTTTTGAAGTATCCGTGCTCCATAGCTCACGGATTAAGTA